AGAAAAATTCCTGGATTTTTCATATTAAAGGTTTTAAATATATTTGCTATAAAGATAAAATTTCTCCAAGAAAAATCTCTGAATGCCAGTGAATGGTATATTGAAGTAGGAGTCCAAGCACGCATTGTTTCTGAAAGATAAGATGGAGGGGGGCTGGGGTAAGAAGAAAAGAACTTTTATGAGAAAAAAATGACAAGGAGAAAAGGGAAACTTGTCCATACACCAGTCCTATTTCGAAAGGGGATAGTGGGTAGGTTCCAACTTCAGTTCACAATCCCTGGCCTCAATGAACATTTTCAATATTAAAATGTTATGTTTTGGAAAAAATAAGATTTTTTTCCCATACTTTATGGCTGGGGTCCCTTTACACAAACACATGTGTAAAAGAACTTGTACAGCCTTAGAATGAATTTAAGGGGGATGTACGGCCACCTTTAGTGCAGTGAGAACAAAATGTAAACATTTCTTCAAATGACTAAAATACATTATATTTTGATTAAATTTTAAGTCCTTATGATAAAGATACAATAAATATGCATAACTGAATGCATGTTGTGCATAAATAATCTATACTTTTGCAGAAAAATGCTTTTGATATGCTCCTTAGAACTGCGCAGCTACAGAATTGAGCAGAGCCTTAAAAAATCCAAAAAAATACGCAAACTGTGCATTAATGTTCTCTCTACAACCATTTGTTGAGAAAATGTCTAAATTTTGCACCTTTAAATGATAATTTCAAGTTCAAAACAAGGTATTGCTGCCTTCAAAAAGAGTGTAAAGAACCATGAAAGTAGTTCGTGGATAGCAGCACGTGGTCTATTTTTAGCACAGAATTTTGTTTTCCAGACCTCTTCTTAATATGGAGGGACATAACAATCTTTAAATGTAGAAGAGAATTACAGTTGTAAAATATTTCAAATAATATGAACACTTTTAAAAGAGAAAATGTGTTATTGTGTGGCTTAATTAATTCATTTAGTATTATTATGGAACAGTTGTTAAATAGTGTACGTATTGATATAAAAAAAAATCTTAAACTCTTTGATTCCAGGTAAAGAAAAATGAGCACCATCAAAGTTGAAAATTAAGAGCTTGTAAGTTTGCCACAGAATACCGGGTAACATATAATATCTATCAAAATGTTAATTATCACCAATGAAACATAAAGAAATTAAACACATAAAATAGATATGAATGACCTTGTTTTAGTACCTACTAGTACGAGGGGGTGATCAAAACGTTCGCGAACTATCTCTATATCTTCAAAACCACAATTCAGATTAGAAACAAATTTGGTGCATACATAGCCAAATACAAGTTCTATAAATAGAATGAATAAAGTTTTGCTCACAATGTGAAAATGACGTCATTATGCAGGTACTTGTGACGAAAAATGTTTGTCTCAGTGGAACGCGTTCAACAAACGACTAAAATATTTATGGTATATCTTTAAAATGCCTTTGAAGTAGTGTATAAGAATTTGATCACAGTTTATTAAGACAAATGACTTCCTATAAATTCAATCAATGATTGGATAGATCGTTTTAGTGAAGGAAGGCAGATGTTTAAATATGATACTTGATATGTTGCGCGGTGAAAGCAAGTTTTAAAAGGGATGTATTTTTAATTAAGCAATCTGCTATCAAAGACCTCCAATTTACACTTTGAAAAATACTTGAATATTTCAGCAGTGATATAACTATCAAATATCTAAGATGACGTTTACTTTTGATCACCTCTCGTATACTCTGTCAAATAAACATTTACAATTTTCATTACAACGGGGCAACATTTGAAAAGGAATGAAGTCATTCAGAGTGGGTTAGGAAATTTAATGAATAAATAAACTTTATTCTATTTGCCCATTTTGTTAAAAATTGCAATTTTACAGAGTAAAGAAAAAATCAACATAATTATATATCTTATACCATCTTTAAAATGACATTTGGTGGTCCTCCCAACTTAGGGAAAAATTATTAGGTCCGTATTTATATGTGAGAAAAAAAATCCTTAAAATTTAAACATATTTGTTGAGAGAAGAAAAAAAAATCGTGTAATGGCATATAAAAAAAATTGAGTCGGGCCATTTCTAGGCAGTAGATCGGGAGAGAGGGCAACCAAATATTTTTATAACAAATGGTCTTATAATACTAGTGCATGTTCCATCACATACTTAGTAATGCAAAATTTTTGAATCTTTGGCACTATTTTGAAAAACAAACATAGGATTTTCGGGGAGAGGGGGTAGCCTATCCCTTTTTTTGCGATGATAGACATAGCATATGCAATGGACCTTTCTTTGAAATATTGTGCTTGCTTCTAAATTTCAAAGAAACAACTCAATATATTTTATCAAGCTTCGTATGTTCAATGAGCGAGAGTTTACAACGTTGTCAACATAATGAGACATGATGCGTTTTTATGTCCAAACATTACTCCATACAATGTATGGGTCATTGCAAACAATCTAGCTATTAATGTGAGGTACCTGAAGGAAATCCTATAACTGCCTATTTTTTCTTTCTAACTGCTAAACAAAATAGACGTATGTACCAACTTTTCGAATGTAAGACATATAATTACAATTTGTTTTTCGTGCACCGCATATTGTGTAACATTTTCAAATTAAATGCTAAGCATCCTCCTTGCAGTGCCCCATTTGAAAATAACTTCTATCGCCAAAGAAAAAAAGACCCAACGTAAACACATATGTTTAGGAATTTTTTAAAACTTTTTCTTCAGTTTTTAAGAAACCAACAAATTATCAAGACTTGGTCTATGAAATATTAAATACAATCATGGTAATAAACGCATCTATCCACAGCAGATATATGCACATGCCAACCACGTGCTCAGTGGAATGATATTATCGAGGAAACGCGAGCTGTTAACAGAACAGTTTTTCCCGATTTGTTGGAGTGGGGTTAAAATCGCGTTTTTTTATTAATCAGACGATGCGATGCAACAAATAAGAGTAGTAAGTAATATAACCTAATGATTATTACTTAGTAAATTCTTGTCTTGATGTTATTATGGTTGCATTTATTCTAAAATCAATGTTATTCGAACTCTGTGTGACAGAGGAATGGCGGACGAAATAAACACATGGCCTCAGGAAGACACCCATATGAAAAATCAAATTTTCAAGAATTATGGATAATGACAAGAAAAAAGCGAAACAAATGGTTGTAGGCATATAATTAATGAATCAAACTAACACCATTTTCAATGCATTTTTCATCTCGTGAATGCTGTAGCTGCGCAGTTCTAACATGATTAATTTTCTCCTAATTAAAACAAAATAAACTTTATTATTTACTAATTTTGGTCTCTAACAGTAGGTAATTGGTGCATTAACACTTTGAGTAACTTTGGGCTAGTTTAGTAGAGTATTAAGCGCATTCTTGGTATTTCTTATTTTACACCAGACTAGATCCAATATGGCTTATACATCCCCCTTAATGTCATTAAATATGAGACAGTCAAATGTCATTAAATTGATAATACATCATACATGATTGTATATGTAATCAAAAGCCTCAAACATGGAAAATTGAAAACTTAAGAAGTACTTACCTTACTAGACCTTACCACCAGGATCTATGAAAATTAATTCAATATCGTTTTCCAGTGCACCTACACATACAGCTAACGTTACACATCAAATTTGACCACCATCACTACTATCATGTATGGTCACGTGATATAAAAATGTGCAAAGACGTTTGATGAGTAAATTTAGATTAAAATACTTTCCAAAAGCAAAGAAGATATTAATCAATGCAATTTTATAAGCATTTAGACTGCAGTATCATCTTAAAAGTGCAGTCTGGTAAATTTAATTTAGATCGGGGTCGGAATGTTCTTCAAATCGAAATATCGAGTCCGATTGTATTTACGTTTTACGAAACATGACATGATAAAAATATTTAGGACACTCAGTCACCGTCTTGTTAATCTAAGACGGATATCTTTGTTAACAGTAGGAACTGCAGTACTTAGATATCTACATATACATGAAGGAATGACATCTGTAACTTTAGAGTCTCTAAATTTTGACAATTTAGCTCTTCGGTCCCTTCCCATCGACCCAGAAAAGGAAAACTATATTCGACAAGTTTCAGGTGCGTGCTTCTCGAAGGTAAAACCGACACCGGTATCCAACCCACAGTTGGTGGCAGCATCAGTCCCTGCATTGTCACTCATTGATCTGGACTCTGCACAAATAGAGAGGGAAGACTTTGCAGAGTTCTTCAGTGGAAACAAACTGTTGCCTGGCAGTGATACTGCTGCACATTGCTACTGTGGTCACCAGTTTGGGTATTTCTCAGGACAGCTTGGAGATGGAGCTGCAATGTGAGTGATACATTATCTGTGTTTGTTTGATAAGATATGTGTTTCTAGATACATGTGTACAAAAACTACAATGTGTACAATGCATATAAATCGATATAGATAGCCATGTATGCAAATATAGAATATGAATATGATCCATATTATTTGGATTGAATCATAAAAATCCCTGTGGAATCATTCAAGAATGAGACAGTAGCATATGTGGCAAATGAGCAGATTTATTAATAGCCACATAGATCATTTAATTGTTATACATGTATGTTTTCAGGGGACCGAGATTTCAATCCTGGCCAAGTCCATCACATTCTCTCCCTTTCTGTGTTAAATGTACACATGATAATCTTCAGTCAACATTACATGATTAAAGAACTTTATGTTTACTGAATTTTTTTCTTTTTGTACGTGTTATAGGTATCTTGGTGAGATTGTTAACAAATCTGGAGAGAGATGGGAGATACAGTTTAAGGGTTCAGGACTGACTCCATATTCTCGTTCAGCTGACGGCAGGAAGGTACTCCGTAGTACTATCAGAGAGTTCCTGTGTAGTGAGGTAATTCTGTCACTCAAAATCAGGGATATGTTAATAATTTTATTTAGAATTACTCCTGTGCAGTGTGCACACAGCTCACTGTAATTTTTGTTGCCTCAAGAGTGTGTATAAAATATGCAGTGCAGTGGTTTACTTCAAATGCTTCACAGCTGCATACTTTTACATGTATGAGGAAAAAAATATGTTCAGGTTATTAGTTCAATTATGACGTATTTGTCAATGAGTCTTATAAAATAATTTGGCAATCTCTGTTCATAAAGTTTTAATGTGCATGATTCCTCTTTAGGCCATCCATCACCTAGGAATTTCCACAACAAGAGCTGGAACCTGTGTCACGTCAGACAGCAGAGTGATCAGGGATATATTTTACGATGGAAACCCAATACAGGAGAGATGCTCAGTAGTGCTCAGAATCGCTCCTACATTCCTCAGGTCTGCTTATTTTACTGATCCATACATGTATAAGCTGTGTTTCCAAACTCCTGAGAATGGTTTTTGAAAAAAAAAATCCACGGTCTCAAGCAATGGTTCAGAGTCTGCATATAATAAATACTGTATACAGGGAAATTTTCGCCCCCGTTTTATTTTCGCTCCTTTCGCCCTCTTCCTGATTGGGCGAATTTGATACGGTGCGAATTCAAATTACACAGCATAGTTTCGTAAACAGAACTAAGACTGGGCGAATTTAAAACGGGGCAAAATAGTTCGCAAGTGCAAACGGGCGAAAATAACACGGGGCGAAAATAACCCTGTATACAGTAGATCTCTCCAACCAGATTGGGCGAGGATCATACATTTTTGCCGTGGTTTGCATCAATGATAAATATCATGCAAATACATGAAGAAAAATAATTTTAAATTAAATGATGTTGTAGATTTTTTCTTATAACATCTTTTGATGAAGTTTATGATGAAGGTTTAGTTCTTCATTTATGAGTTTTTTTTAATATTATTAGGTTTGGGTCATTTGAGATTTTCAAACCAACAGATTCAGAGACAGGGAGGAAGGGGCCAAGTGTTGGGAGAAACGATATCCTGACCCAGATGTTAGACTACACGGTCCAGACATTTTATCCTGAGGTAAGACTGTGAGAGATATGCCCCTTTATTTTTTCTCCATAGACCTATTTACTCTTACGATTTCACCGTATTTTGTATGGATTTTTAGTTTAAAGTACGTCTCATGTTTTCTTATTATGAAAATATGGAAATCGGAAATACATTCGTTTGGAATTTAGCAGCTAGTTTTTGTTATGATCTGTCTTTGTTTCACGCTTTTGAAACGCTAAAAATGAGAAAGGTTTCAAACACATATCAAGTGATGTCGGGTTGCTAAACGCTGTGGTATTTTAAAATGACAAAGATCATGTTGATAAACCAAGTTTTTGTAATCAAAAAAGCAGTTGTTCTTTTTTAATATGTGAAAAATTGATGGAAAGTTAAATCTTACTGGCAAATGCCAAATCTCACGGAGAAATCTAATAAAAAATACTGAGAGATGACGATATGGGTAAACAGGTCTGTATCCATAGACAGTTTTCATCTTTCCTATGTCCCATAGATTCATAAAAACAGATTACAACTTAATGAAAGTTGTTGAAATTTTTGTTTAAAAAAATTTTCTGAAAATATTCAAAATGAATGCAACAAGTACTAGCCATCAAATTTACATATCAACAGATCTGAAATAATTTTTTACCTAGAAGTTTACATTTATATCCCTTAAATTTTTTATGTATATTAATATTTAAGTATTATATTATTGGGTACCTGTAAAGTGCGAAACGAAATTGAAACGAAACGAACTGAAACGAAATGAAACCTACCAAAACGAAACGAAATCAAAACGAAATCTACCGAAACGAAACAAAACTTTCATTTTTTTTTTCAATTCAAGGTATATAATTATATATATATAGTTCAAGCACTTGTTTATATAAAAACTAAACACCTATAAATTATGCTCCCTACTCTAATGATGTACATGTATTTACATTATGAACTGCTGCCAGCTGCAAATATGTGCAAGCATTATGCATACAGGTATAATTTTAATATGTGATATATTTTCTAATTTTTTTGACTTACTATTATTTTCAGCCCTTATTCATATAGATACAACATATTCATCAAAATTGATGTGTTATATGTAAAAACGCATTTATATAAGGGTTGAAATCAAGTTACCGTACTGTTGTACATGTATTGCAAATGCCTTTAAAGGGGTTTGGGAGTGGCCATTTTCAGACTATTTTGACCTCCTTTAAAAGAAGAGTTCCATATAAAGATATACAAAAATGATTAAATTTTAAAACTAAAATGTATGATATTTTTCTTTATCACATAATTGTTGACAGCCTAAGATATATCTAAAAAATTAAGTTAAATCTGGTGGTTAATTTGTTGACCCCAGCCAGGATAAAACCGGAGATTATCGAGTATTCCATTCCGAGGTTTTGGGTGTTATCATTCAAACAAGTAGGGTACCCCTTATACGAAACAATTGCCTGTGTAAACAAGTGCTTGAACTATATAAATTTCATATGAAGTAAAAATAAACTATATACAGTTACACATTATATATATAACTTAATGCATACCTGTATACCTTGATTTGAAAAAACATTCCGAAAGTTATGTTTTGTTTCGTTAGGTTTCGTTTTGATCTCGTTTCGGTAGGTCTCGTTTTGTTTCGGTAGATTTCGTTTCGTTACGTTTTGATTTCGTTTCGTTTCCCTTACCAAACTGATATGTTTGCTGCAGGCCTGCAGCAAGTCTGCTGCAAGCTTGCAGCAAACAAAATTGTTCGCAGGAAAAAAAATTTCTTGTTGGCAGATGATTGCCGCTAGCTGCGATCTTGTGGCAAACATTGCAGCAATTGCTGCAAGCTTGCAGCAAATTTGCAGGAACCCAGCATGTTTGCAGGAACATTGCAAGAAACATACACACCAATTTAATGTTCGCAGCAATTTCGCAGGAAACATTTCATGATTTGAATGTTTGTAGGAAGTTCGCAAGAACAGTAAACAAGTCAAATCAGCCAATGAAATGCAGATTGTACTGTGGTTAACACAGAACTGGCCATTTTGAATTGTTTGAATAGAAGGTGTACATGCTTCAGTATTTTGTAAGGAATATATACCATTTTGAGTGATTAAAAGTGCAAAACTCTGGATGTAGGTTTTCATTGGCATGCATGATATCTAATTGGTAAGATCTGATTTTGTTTTTTGTTTTTTTTTGATATGGAAAAAATGTTTCTTAAAAACAGGTCTGAGTAACTGATGTAACTGCTAGGTCAGATCTAAATCTATTTATTATGAATTTCAGCCCTCATTTTAAAATCACATATACATACTTCTTAAATGTATTAATTTAATGGACCCAAATCAGTTACATGTTTTCAAATGAATAAGTAACTGTAATCACGGTTCAATTGAAATTATATTTAAATTTCTTAATGTTCTGTTGATATAACAAAAAGCTATTTCATGCACTTAAATTTAAAAAGAGTATGGAAACATTGTCTAGGAACATAAAGAGAACTTCTCAAAACTGCATAAGATTGCATCATTTCAGAAACGTGGTAGATTTTCTCTAAAGTTAACAGATTTAGGTCAGGACAAAGGCTTTCCGCGAACTTGCTGCTTGTACACAGGAATGTGCAAAAAACCATAAGGAAATTGTTTGCTGCAAGTTAGCAGCAATGTTTGCCGCAAGCTTGCAGCAAGGTTTCCAATATTTGGAAAATCCAGTGTTTGCTGCAGACTTGTAGCAAACCTCATTTGCATATGGTAAAATGTTTGCTGCAAGCTTGCTGCAGACTTGCCGCAAAGTTGCTGCAAACACCAAAGGCTTTGTTTAGACTGTTGTGCTTTCTTGCTACATTGCCTCAAGCTTGCAGCAATGTCTGCTGCAAGTTTGCAGCAATATCTGCTGCAAGTTTGCAGCAATGTTTGCTGCGGATTTGCAGCAAATATTTGCAGGAAGGCAGTATTTTTGGTAATGGTTTGATTTCGTTTCGTTTCGGTAGATTTCGTTTCATTTCGGCAGATTTCGTTTCGTTTCGGTTCAGTTCGTTTCGTTTCGTTTCTATTTCGTTTCGCACTTTACAGGTACCCTTGTATTATTATATCTGTAAACCTTATGAATAATATTTGTTCCTTAGTTATGGAAAGCTCACAGCTCTGACAAAACAACTGCTTATGTAGAATTCTTCAAAGAACTCACAAGACGTACTGCAAGACTAGTAGCAGACTGGCAGAGTGTGGGCTGGTGCCATGGGTAAGGACACCTGTCCTCAGAATGTCATTTTACCAATTACATTTATTACCTGGTTGCAAGTGCACAATAATGCAAGATTTAAAGACTTTGTTTTTGAAAGAATGTTATTTTTTAAAGGGCAGCAAAATTACTGTAAAAAAACTGTAAATTATGAAACCTAGATAAATTTGTTTAAACTTTGAATTATTAAACCTAAATAAAGTTATTTATGATTATTATTGGATATAAATGTTGTTTTGGGGGCATTTATATGTTAATAGTATTTTTTTTAACTGCAGAGTTCTGAACACAGACAATATGAGTATTGTGGGAGTGACCATTGATTATGGTCCCTTTGGTTTTATGGACAAGTATGACCCAGATTTCATTTGTAATGCCTCAGGTAATGCAAGTTCACATACACTAACAGTAATCACAAATTCAGCTACATAAAGTATACATTCACATCACTATACATGTATACACCAGGACTGACAGTGAAATTTTGTAGAGTAAAAAAGGATTTTAATGGTTGTGTTTATAAATTTTGATCTGTATGTATGACAAATGGTAACCTCTTCCATATGGTGTTTGTAATACAGATGATGGTGGGAGATACACATACATAAAACAACCCCAGATTTGTAAGTGGAATTTAAAGAAGTTTGCAGAGGCTATTCAGGGAGTAGTACCTTTAGCAAGGACAATTCCAGAAACTAAGATATTTGATGAAGAGTATAGCGATTACTACACAAAGAAAATGAGGAAAAAGGTCTCAAAATTAAGCTTTTTAGAAGTTGTCTAAAATGAATTATGTCCTGTTTTAAAAGGCATTGAATTTAAATTAGTGATAATTTTTGTAATTAGCATTTTTTTTTGGTGATTTTACATGTATAAAAATGTCATACACTATATACAATACAACAGTAATTCCTTGAAGCTATAATATGTTGACGGTGCAACCGTTATGGCGAGCGCAGATATTTATTTTGTTATAATTTTGATCGGGCTCGTCAAACTGCACGTGACATTTGGTGCATCTAGACTCTGACGTCATATGTGAGTTACATTTCCAAAAAAGAAGCCTGAACAGTGCTGAAAGTAAATGAAAAAAGTTTACTATTTATCTTCAATATTTACCCATTAAATCAGGGCATGTTTACTTTTAATTGAACTTTTGCTGCTATTCTCGCGAGAACATAGCTTTAACAAGTGATGCATTGTGGGTGGGTCCTAAATACTGCATCAAAAAATTCTATCGAATGAATGTGCAGTAGTCCAAATTTTCTCTCTGCACAGGCATTGCTTTAAGAGCTCGCAGTGGCAAACAAGTACTGTTAATCACATTTTGTTTGCAAGAACTTAATTTTTGCGTTATTACGCGAGACAATGAGCTCGCGAAAATTTCATTCTCACATTTAAAAGTATTTCTTACGATTATATAGAGGAAAAACAACAATTCGTGAAAATTATGTCTCGCTAATAAAGAGTCAATGACTATCTCGAAAAATAAGGTGTCGCGAAAATTTAGTGATCTACAGTACATATTACTTATACATCACTGTATTGGTCCCTTGTAGTTTGGGTTGATCAACAAAGCAGATGAAGAAGATGGGTAAGGCTTTTATTTCTTTTTAATTAGTAATCACCATATGTTTGGGATTCACTTGATTATTTTATTTAATAATTGATTTAAATTTTCATAAACAGGAAGTTGACGGGAACTTTTCTGGACACAATGCGGAAGACTGGTGCTGATTTCACTAACTGCTTTCGCTGTCTGAGTCGCCTCCCTTTACCTGGCTCTCCTGATTTTGAAGATAAATTACAGGAGGTTATTCAGTACATTCTTACCCAGTGTTCAACTGTAGAGGAGCTGAAGAAAGATTATAGACCAAGAATGAATCCAAGGTAGGCACAGAAAAATTGGGGGAAATATTTAAAAAATTTATAAAGAAATGTGTTTATGTATCTTTTTGTTTTTTTCAGGCAGTTTCAGATGATTCTGATGTTGATGGAATCAAATCCTCAAATTGCACCTTCACTAGGAAGAGGTTTTTCTGCCTTTACCCAAGAAATAGAAAGGCTTGAAAAATATAAGGAATTAGAGGTATACAAAAGATTCTCTTTAAATCCATTTGAAAATATATACACACTATAGATTTATCTGAATCAAAATGTTAATTATAAAACCTCTTTTTATTACACAAAAAGCGGCTTTATCTATGAAAAGAAAATATACTGTATACATGGAAATTTTCGCCCGCGTTTACTTTTTGCCCCTTTCGCCCTTGTCACAAGTAGGCGAATTTAAAATGAGTCAAATTAAAAGAACACAGTAAAAATTCTTAAACAGAACTGTGACTGAGCGAAATTTAAAACGGGGCACGAAAATAACATGGAGCGAAAATAACCATGTATACAGTAATTAAGATAAGATAATCATTTTAAATTTGTTTAGCTCTCATTTTATTTTATCACAGAAAATTACAGAAGAGGATAAGAAGAAAGAGAATACAGACCTGTGGACAAGCTGGTTTAAAACCTATACTGACAGATTGAAGGAGGAAGCAGAGGGAGTGACTGACTTAGAGGCAGCCAATCAGAAGAGAAAAGAGGTCATGAACTCTACGAACCCAAGGTCAGAATTTTTTTTGAGTATACATGTATTTTAAAGTACTTTGAGTTTATTAATGTGATCCTTGTATTTTCAAATTGAGAATAAATAGACTGTGTTTCTACAGAGGTTTAAAGCACTTAGACAAAAAATACTCCTCCAAAAATGCCTCAAGTCTTGATAACTATTACAGTGGAGCCTCATTTATCCGGACGCTTTGGTTCCCAGTCAATTTGTCCGGATATGTGAAGCGTCCGGATACCTGAATCACCAGTTAAACAAGACATAATAACATTTTAAAATTCTGTTCCGATGAAATAGCGTCCGGATACTGAAGCATCCGGATATCTGGCGTCCAGATATCTGAAGGTCCACTGTACTTGGTTTTCAGGTTTATTCTCAGGAACTACATAGCCCAGAATGCAATAGACGCAGCTGAAAAGGGAGATTTTTCAGAGGTGCGTCGAGTGCTGAAGGTTTTGGAAAAACCATACAGTGATGAAACAAATCTGGAAAGTCTCCTTCAGAAACCAGTGGGTAAGAAAATGCTAACTCTGGAATTTCCTTCAGTTCAACCCTTGTAGTACAAAATTGTCCAAAATATTCAGTTCACCAAAGAAAATTTTCAGATTTATACAGGATATTGAAAATATTACTAACTTTGCTATCTTTGCCAACCAAGTATCTGATTTGTATCCCCTCATCTTCAAAAATATTTGTATACAAGAATAGATATGGGTTACCCCATATCCAAAGATATTCGACTTTTAGATTTTAAAATGTGTTTAAAAGTGTTTAATGACTTTTATGAAAATAAAACTGCACTGTCTAGTTATAGAACTTGTGTAAATTTCGTGAGTCCGTAGCATTGCGGTCACCCAGTCTCCTAATAAACAGTACACATACCTGTGTCCGCAAGTCCAGTTAGCCTTGGTCTACACACGTGCGATGGAGTTGTCAAACGGACTCCCGCGAACAGAGAAGTTACGAACTTTTTTTCATAATTAGATCACATGAATTCATACAAATTCAGATTAATAAAAATTAAACGATTGTCAGTTTAGAAATCCCCCGCCCAGTTCGGGTTTTGTTACACAATTTATAGGTACTCTCCCTATGTGTACTTTGTCTACACACATGCAGGAATCTGCCCAGGGATTGAAAATTCCGTCATTTAATATATTACACACATAGAATGATTTTTTGTCTCTAAGAGGAAACTATATGATGATTAACGAACAATTAACATGATTTTACTACAGTTGTTGATATAATATAATCAATTCATCGGTTAAAAAATATCAACCGAAGAATGACCTAGATATTCTCTGTTATCAAACATGTTAAAAAAAGCTGAGGAGGGAGCGAGCGTAGGAATATTAACATTTTTTATTTGCATTTAGGGGGGAAAGTGATCTTTGGAGGAAAAATTCACATTAATTTCAGTTTCTTTTACGTATGACATACACAACATTATTCTTATCACGAACAATTATGTTGTATCTACTTATTAATGATGGAACTATTTTCGTTGGAACAATTTGTGTGAGTCGCCGCTGACTACAGTAATATATCTAGAACAGATAGTAAGCACTGATCGAATATATTAAAAACAATTCAGACTTTCAAATAGCACAGTAGAGTCATACTCCTACAAGTAAGAACCTTGGTTAATGTCTCTGTGTTCCTTATTGTTAAGCGGCACCAAGTCAAAAGAATCTCGCCGTGAACCTCTAGCATGCTGGAGTAAGTAGAGTCAGGGTTCGTTGGGAGAGATTGGAATTTGAAATAATTATTGATAAGCCAAGAGGCTAGGCACCTTGTAAAATCATTCATAAATAGGAAATAACATATATTTTCAGTATTTTATGCAAATTTCTTACAAAAGATTTACATGTATATTCTTACAGAAGCTTCCAAAGGGGCAACTGAGGAAGAAGTTGATTCCAGTGGTGATTTACCAAGAACATTTGTAGGACAGTTTTATGACGATAAGCCACCTTTGTGGTCAGCTGACCTGAGGGTCACATGATCCTCGTAAACCACACAGAATCTGCCTGTTCGTCAAGCCTGGAGTCCGAGGTCACATGACAGAAACTGATATACTTCAGATGTATGATATAAACAGTGGTAGTTATGGTGAGATACATATATTGATGATTCAATTCTCAAAAATCACTATTTCTAGAGTTTTCAAAATTATTGGGCATCTTTCAACATTTGTGATCAAAATTAGAATTCTTCAATATCAATTTATTGATATTCCCATTTTCATGGGATTGTGTCCGAATTTGTTATTATTCCTCAATATTGAATATGGCCCGCACCTTCGAATATGACATTTATGAGAACTTAATGAACTTGTATGTGATTCAATGACTGTGTAAACATGTCTTCCACAATGGTTATTTGTAATGAGACTTCACAGCAGTGATTTTATTAATTAGTTAGGAACAGGTTGTCGGTTCTGTGTGGTATTAACAGATTCAGGGATACAGATATTGCATGATCTAAAGAAATGCATCATTTCTTTGTTTATGATGGTTCTGAATTCAACCTTAGTTAATAGGTATTCAAAACTTGAATTTTATAGTCATGTATAATTGTAGTCTTGGATTATTACATTTGATAAAGAACATTTTTATTGTATTATTACAAATAAATGGGTTTTTTTTTAACTTTATTGATTCTATGCTAAGTCAAAAGTGACTTTAACTATGTCTATTTTCATTTCTCTTCACAAAATAAATCAGGGAAAAATACATTTTGGAAACAGAAAAAATTAAAGCTTAATTTTTTTAATATATTGATGCTCATTAGACATACTATTGGAGCAAGCTTTTAATTTTTGGAGAACCTTATTTTTTTGTTGATTTATTCAGACTGGTGTTAGATTTTTGGAAACAAGCTACTATGATACATATGATATTCATCGATATTAAAAAAAAACTTGTACATGAATATGCATTCTCATATTGTTAATATGTCCAGATGTATTGTATAAGATAACTTGTTATTTAAATCATAATTAAGAAAAAAATTCTGTTGTGTTTCCTTGCACTAGTAACAGGAAGGGAGAAAATTAATGGTTGGACCAGGAATCAAACCAAGAACCTCTGCATTACTAGACAGGTAATTTAACCACTTGGTTATTAAGGCTGATGCTCATGGTGCTTATAGCTCTAACCTCAGTGACACATTGCGCCCTCCTTAAGTTGATCTTCATCTCAAAGACACACAAGCAATATAATTCTTATTCTATCAAATATCTTAAAATTGTCCCTCTGAGTAACACATCAAAAATGCTTTTATATGATTTCTTTCAACATTTAAAACTAACAAACTACTGATGTTTAAAAACGTTATTCTAATATTTTATTACGAAAAATCACAAGTTTATTCTAGTATTCTATTAACAACAATTACAAATTATGTTAAAGAAACATTGTGTAAAGAAAATGGAAACAATCAGCATTACTTGATTGATCGTAAAAAAATTAAGAAAAAAGTGTATTTAAAAATGCAAACTAGATGATTATCGAAGAACTAATGCAATATTGCTATACAATCAACAGAGCTCTGTGGCAACGCACTTTGAAAAAATTACGCACTTTGAAAAAAATTTCAAATTGCTTTAAAATTGGGACAAAATCAACGCACTTTGAAAAAAAAATTCAAAGTTGTTAAATTTGGGACACACTCAACGCACCTTGACCTTTTTTTTCAAAGTGTGTTAAGAGTGTACATAAACATTTTTTACCATGGAAACACTTAACGCACTTTGAAAAAAAAATATGCATGAAACAAATTCTAGACTTATGGATTTTAGTTATTGAGAGATCAACTTGAAAGAATTATATCTTTCGAAAAACTTTTTAATTTACATGTACTCATTTAACCTCATTCAGAACAAGGAAAAGGTCTCTCAGACAAACTCCTTTTTTTCTTATACATTGTACATAGTCATCGGTAGCAAATTGAAAGTGGATCCCCCCAATTTTCAATGCCTAAATTATGTATATCTTTGTAAAACATTTGTGTGACTACCCCCCCCCCCCCCCCCCAGGTACAGATGCCTATGCTACACCAAAATATATGTATTTGCATAACTGGTATGACTATAAAAACTTTCAATAAATTTTAGTTTACATATAGAATGCATGCAAACTGGGAAAAAAATAAGTACAATAAAACATTTCACAGAAAAAGGATTTTCAAAGTATGGAAAAATCAAAATTGCTCACTTTTACACCCTGAAGTGGTTCAATTATTTATCATAACCAAGATTTACAAGAATATTGACCAAGCCATACACATTTTTTCAAAGTGCGTTAATATGATCGACATTAACGCACTTTGAAAAGAAATTTTATTTTTTCAAAGTGCGTCGACTTGGTTCCAGATTTAACGCATTTTGAAATTTTTTTTCAAAGTGCGTAATTTTTCAGGGTGCGTTGTAACAGGGCTCCCAGCCCCACACACCCCACCAAAAACCCTGACCCAGCATGCCCAGCGTTATCATGCATTTAGTTTGTTTGCTAAAAACCGAGAAGCAGAGAATCTTATAAAATAAATGCAGTTTTATATACACATGTAATATCAAGAGAGCCTAATGCCATTAACCACAAATCTTTACCAAGAAGTCGAGTTTCACAATTTTGTGAAATGCTCATTTGCCCACCTTAACCATGCATGTAGAATGTTTGATTAAACCAAGAAATAGAGGAGAATATTTTTATAATGTATTTTACTATATCATCAACAGAGCCCCGTGTTTACACCAGTACTCCTGACTTTGAATTTTACTATATAGTCAATGAGCCCTACTCCTACTTCAGAACCTTTGACGGAAGCCTGGGATCATGAATTTCACAATATTTAGTAGAGGGCTTAATGCTCAATACTGTCATACAAATAGTTTATTGCTTGGTGACAAGGAGAAAAAGGGTTTTTATAAAATAACTATTTAATTTTCAAAATTGATGGTTTTAGCCCCATTCCTCACAGTCTAGTGGTAGCAATCATTCCCCATTACTCAGAAATTCCGTATGCAAAAATTGGTACAGTGGTTCTGATGGACAAGCTGAAAATGTTCAAATGTTTAAGACAGACAAAGGACGACGACGGACAAAATCAAAGACAGTAGTTCACCTTAGTGAGTCAGGTGATCTAAAATTGAGGATAAAATAGTGTCCGATCATAGTAAAACAGGTAAAAATTTATTTTATACAACATTTTTATTCACATAAAGTGAATGGGATCGGGCAGCAGGCATAGCCTATTTTAGCCCTGTCCCTAGTAAAAATTGTTACTTTCTTTGCTGACAGCCACAAAGTACTCTTTCCATGCTGTTTTATCATTAAATAATTGCTTTTACGAAACATTATGACAAACAATTTATAAATACATTGTATCAGAATATGAATTTATGTTTCTAATCTGTTTGATATAGACACATCATAATATCTTTTCAATTATGTTCCCCAAACGGAGTTTGGGAACATATTGTTTTTACTCGGTTTCTTATTATGTTCCCCAAACGAAGTTGGGGAACATATTGTTTTTACTCTGTTTCTTATTATTATTATTATTATTTTTCTTCTCGGGAAAATTTTGTCCGCGAATGATCTTGTAAAGTACACATCCGATTAAGGGGAAACCTTTTTAGGGTAAGTAGGCATGTTATGTAGATTTGCGGAATCTAGGTCATTTTCCGCGCACATGCTTGCAAGAGCGCGCACGTGCAAAACTTGAAATGACCAATATATAATGGATATAACCGTAACTTTTCTATTTTTAGACGAAATGTTTTGAAACTCATAATGTAAGGATATATGAGTAGTATGCACAAGATGACATGGTCAAAATAGCAAGATCGCACGTGCAAGCACGTGCGCTTCGCTCTGATTGGCTGAAACTAAAGTCTCAATATCTTTCTTGTTTTTTGATAAAATCATTTGAAATTTTGAACATAGTCATACATTAGGGAGATCTACAGCCCGTAATAAAAGAAATATCAAGAAAGCATGTGCATGCACGTGTGCTTGCAAGAGCTCGCACGTGCAACACGAGAATTAATTGATACAGACGTAACTATTTAAATTATTGATGATATGCTTTAAAACTCATATTAGAAGTATATTATAGAAGCATAGACAAGATGACATGGTCAAAAAAGCAAGATCTCACGCGCATGCACGTGCGCTTCGCTCTGATTGGCTGAAACTAAAGTCTCAATATCTTTCTTGTTTTTTGACGAAATCCTTTGAAATTTTGAATATAGGCATGTATTAGGATATCCTACAATAAGATATATAGCAATTATTTTGAAAACACGTGCATGCACGTGCGCTGCAATCTGATTGGTTTATGCTTTAAATAGCTATAATTCCCTTGGTTTTCAACCAAACAGGATGGGATTTGGAACATGGATAGATATAATGGACTTCTACAAGAAGACATGGTCACCATGCACATGCATACACGTGCATGTACGTGCGCTGCAATCTGATTGGCTGAAACTTTGAACAGCTATAACTCCCTTGGTGTTCAACTAAACGGGGTGGGATTTAGAACATAGATAGATGTAATGGACTTCTACAAGAAAGTATGGTCGCCATGCTCATGTTAGCACGTGCGTGCACGTGAAATGAGTAAAATCAAAAATACACTTGAATTAGCGTATTTTTTAATACGTTTGGATTAAATACTTTGATATTTAGTATATTAAAATCTATAGATTGTAAAGACAAGATTATATGGTCATTACGCACATGCATTCACATGAGTATGCGTGCAATGCTAAAATTTGAATGAAATTGGTGCACTTCTGGGTAAACGTTGTTAAAGTCTCAAATGCATAGAGTTTGTCTTATTTAATGAAGCTTATAGGGAATATGGCACCAAAAGGGAGTTGGGGAGCGTTTGGGGAACATCTGTAACGGTCCCCGTTACAATTAGCACTAGTTATTATTATTATTATTAAGTCTTCCGTTCACAACGGAAGACTTATAGTGATTGTATTGTTTCTTTTTATTATTATTATTATTATTATTATTATTCCTCCCAAATTTTGTGAGCGCGATTACTCAGAGATGGCTGGATAGATTTTCACAAATTTTCTCATGTGAGTAGGTTGATATATGAAGTTTATATAAAATTCCGTTTTTTGAAAAATTCACTTCCGGTCCAAAGTTATGGCCGATTTTCGAATTTTAAAATCGACTTTTGTCCGGCAGTTTTCTCGGAAACGGTTTGAGGTAGAGATATGAAATTTACAGGAGTATTAGATCATGATATTCTATTTGTTTTGAAGTTGTTTTCGTGTGTTTCCGGTACTTCCTGTCCGAACCGGAAGTGAATTTGTTTTTGGTCAATTTTTGATTTTTTTGTTTTTAGATATTTTTTCAAGATATTCTTATGTAAAACAGACATTTTTCTACAAATACTAAATATATAATTTGTTTTTAAATCAGATTCCACATTTTGTATATTTTCGGTACCGAAATTATCTCTATTTACGTAGTATGTATAAGGTGGGCAAAGAAAGATAACTCTGACCTGTGAATGAGAATAGAACTTTCGAGATAAAGGCGGAAATAGTATTGATGACGTTAGAGACATATATACGCTCTCCAGATCAACATATTTACACATTCAATATTCTCTCTTTTGCATGTTACTTAATTCACTATATGCATATTAGTTTAAATTTGACTGTGTAGTGTAAGTCTGTATATTGAAAGTTTTTGATTTACAAATTTATATCTAAAAAAAAAAATCCGTTCTGTGTCAACTTAGCACTTTGAAGAAATAATATTGTACGCAGTATACATTACAGCGATGTATATACAAATTATTCTACAAAAATACTAAACATATTATTTATTCAATCGGATTCTGCATTTTGGAGATTTAAGGTTCCATCAATAAATTCATTTTCTCTATTTACGTAGTGACAATGAGCAAAGATAGATAACTCTGACTTGTAAGTGGGAAAAGAACATTCGAGATAAAGGCGGAGGTAGTTTCCCGCAGACGTCT